GAGGTGGCCCGAAGGGCAGCCACCCAGTTTATGAATCTGACAGTGGCACACTTCAATTTAATTCCCAAATGTTCGATGACAAAAGAGGAAAACAAACTATTGTTCACCCAGGTTTCATATCCAGCTTAAAAGGACCTCATGAACTTTTCTACTTCCTTTGGCCTTGTTTGGTTGTAGTAGAACTAATCTCCTAGTGGAACTAATCCACCTAGGGATTAGATTGGTCCTTTCTTGTCACCCAAAATTCCTGCATACCAATCCCCTCTCTTTAAGATCTCGTTTGGCTGACCTAGGAGCAGCAATGGAGATGAGCAGCCGCAGCGACTCAAGGGGAAGAGAGGGAGCAGCCTCAAGACGTGCCTCGCGTGGATCCGTTCCACGCAACAGAGGCTACTCTGTTGCACCCCGTGGATTGAAGGAGATCAACGCGGTTTAGGCCGGGAAGTTCCATGCCATGGACCAAACCAAACACGTACACTGGGATCCACATGGAACAGTTCCCCGTCAGAATGAACATGTCAGCGACACGGGTACAATAGAGCGGCAAGAGGAAGCACAGTCAAGAGTCAGGCCCATACGCAAGCCTCGTCTGCCCGCTCGGCTTGCGGGCCCTGAATGGGCCTTAGGCCTTGTAACCCCTTAAGTACCTTTCCCCTCTCTGCTTCTAGACTTGGCAAAAGGCAAATGGCACGATGGCCAGCTAGAAAGTGTGTTCTTCTTCCTCTCCCCTTCAATTCCCCTCTCCGAGATCCAATTGTAAGAACTTGATTCGAATTTCCATGGAGATATAGATGAGAACCTTACCATCTGGCATCAGAGCCATTCGATCTGTCGGCCCTTCCGTCTCACCAGCGCCACACCCGGTTCGCCGACAGGTAGCGAGCGACGGTGATGGACCGCATCTCGACGGAGACCAAGGCCATCTATGACTTGTTGCGAGCTGATTTCAACAAATCTGACCGCGGCCGCATCGATTCCACGGCGGCGGCCATCTCCAAGCTCGATGCCAAGCTGGATCTGCTCTCTTCCTGTATCGATGAGGTCAAGTTTTCCATTGGTGTCGATATCGATGAGCTGTGACACGAGCTGGATCATACACCGCCTGCCGCTGCGGAAACATCGAGAGGAGTGCCTCCCATACCCATCCGCTCCGCCAGTGGTGGTCCGTCCGAATCGGAAGGTTTCCATGCCGACAGTGAGAACAGAGGTCCCAGAAATCGACTCTACGTTCCACCACCAGCCAAAGGTACGCAAACCGATCAGTCATTATAGAGAGTTCCCTTCAATTCGGTGGAAAATTTTCGCCACAACTCTTCTGATGTGTTCGGGTTTGGACCACGAATCGAGATGCCGTGATTTGATGGAACCAACCTAAAACTCTGGCAGACCAGGTGCGAAGATTACTTCCGTTTCTAGAACACTCCACCGCAGCAGTGGATATCTCTGGCTATGGCTCTGTTCGAGGGTACAGCCGCTCGATGGCTTGATTCAGTTCACCGTCGAGTCCCTCAAGCGACATGGGATGAATTCTGCCGCTTACTGCAGTCCAGGTTCGGCCGTAACCAGCATCGGTCCATCCCGAGGAAGTTTTTCAACATCAGTCAGACAGGAACTGCTGAGGATTATGTAGAGTGGTTCTCTGATTTGTTTGACCAGCTTGCTGCCTATGAAACTTCACCAAATACAATTCACTATGTTACTCGTTTCCTGGAAGGACTGAAACCATCTATCAAGCTGGCAGTGGGCATACAACAACCGGCCGATCTAGACACATCTTATCAATTGGCCATTCTTCATGAAGAACTGGGATCACAAGTTCATGTAACAGGTCCATCCAATACGAGAAGAGCATCAGCCTTACCTTTGCCCCCTCCACCAACTAGTTCGTTCCAAACTCCTGCAACAGGTAAATCTATTGAAGATCATCGTTCCGTGGACAGTCAAAAAAGGCCAGCTGCTGAGGATAAATGGGGAGCTCTCAGGAATTATCGAAGGGCCAAGGGGCTGTGCTTTGTTTGTGGGGAACGTTGGAGCAAGGATCACATATGCAAACAGGAGGTGCAGCTTCATGTGGTATAAGAAATGGTAGAGTTCTTGCAGAACACAGAGTTGTCTGAACCTGATGACACTGTTAACTCAGCATCTGTCCACATGATATCTATTTCTGCTACAACTCTGGGAAGTAAAACAGACAAATCTCCCAGAACAATGCAACTAAGGGTTCAGTTACAAGGGCATGCTTGTACCTTCTTAGTGGATTCAGGCAGCACTCACTCCTTTTTGGACTTGTCTCTCTTACAAAACCTACACGGAGTAATACCAATGAAGCCTGTGTCGGTCAGAATTGCCAATGGAGACACAGTTAACTGTTCCAACCAAATTGTGGGCTGCATTTGGGGCTGTTCAGGTCACAATTTTAGCAGTGATTTCAAGTTCTTTCCTCTGGGCAGTTATGATGGAATCATAGGACTTGATTGGTTGCTTGCACACAGTCCAATGCTTGTTGATTGGGAAAATCATTGGTTCTCTTTACAACATCAAGACACCATTGTCACCCTACTGGGAGCTGCTGCTATTGTTCCTGAACTGGCATTAGTGGAATTGTCATCTCTTCTTACTACCACGGATGCTCCCATTCCACCTGAAGTCCAAGAAATTTTGGATCAATTCAAACATGTGTTTGCAGCACCCACAGGTTTACCTCCTAGAAGACCATATGATCACAAGATTCCTCTTATACCAGGAGCCATTCCTGTGTCTCTTCGACCTTACAGATTAGCTCCTGCTCTGAAAATTGAATTAGAGAAACACATACAAGAGATGCTGGCCAGTGGAATTATTAGACCAAGTAACAGCCCATTTTCATCTCCCCTGCTTATGGTTAAGAAGAAGGATAATACTTGGTGCCCTGTGATTGATTATCGTCACTTAAATGCCATGACTCAAAAAGGGAAATTTCCCATTCCAGTAATTGATGAGCTCCTGGATGAGATATCAGGAGCTAGCTGGTTCACTAAGTTAGACCTGCGTTTGGGTTATCATCAGATTTGATTAGCCCCAGGAGATGAATACAAAACTGCCTTCCAGACACATCTAGGCCATTATGAGTTTACAGTGGTATCTTTTGGTCTGACAGGAGGACCCAATACATTTTAGTTTGCCATGAACAGTACGTTGGGTCCAGGCAACAGACACTATGTGGTTGTTTTCTTTGATGACATACTGGTTTTCAGTTTCACATTCGAGGAACACTTGGTCCATCTCAAGAAGGTGCTATCTCTCTTGTCTGAACACCAGTGGAAGGTGAAAATGTCCAAATGTGCATTTGCTCAACGAGAAGTAGGATATCTTGGCCACATTATCAGCGGTGCGGGAGTTTCCACAGACCCAAGTAAGATTTCTACTATAGAGACATGACCTACACCAACCAATGTCAACGAGGTCCCTGGTTTTCTGGGATTGGCCAGCTACTACCGAAAATTCATCCGCAACTTTGGAATCATCTGCCGTTCTCTGACAGCACTGCTGAAGAAGGGGGTGATCTTCCGCTGGTCATCTTGTGAAGAGGAAGCCTTTCAAGAACTAAAACGTGCCTTAATGACAGCACCAGTACTAGCTCTGCCCAATTTTACAAAAACCTGTGTCATTCAGACAGATGCGTGCGATGTGGGCATTGGAGCAGTTCTGTCACAGGATGGGCATCCTCTAGCGTATGTCAGTAAGGCTCTTGGTCCTAGGAACCGTGCTCTGTCAGTATACGAAAAGGAATACTTAGCTATTCTGCCGACTATTGAACATTGGTGTCAATACCTATAGTTGAGTGAGTTTGTGATTCAAACTGATCATAGAAGCCTGACTAGTCTGTTTGAGCAACGTTTACACACACCTTGGCAGCAGAAGGCATTAACTAAACTCATGGGGCTTCAGTACAAAATTGTCTATAAGAAGGGATCAGACAACAATGCTGCTGATTCCTTGTCTCGTAGACCTCATGCAGATGCAGAAATGCAAGCAGTGTCAACACTACAACCCTTGTGGCTTTTTGAAATCTTGGCAAGTTATAGTCAGGACCCTTTTTGCCAACAAAAATTACAGCGTTTGGCAGCTGACCCAGCAGCAGAGAACAAGTTCTCTCTCAAAAATGGGCTTCTATGCACTGATAATTGCATTTGGGTGGGCGCTGACAGTCAACTACAAAATAAACTGGTATTGGCATTTCATGATTCACCTTTGGGGGGGCACTCAGGCTTTCCTGTCACCTACAGAAGAATTAGACAACTGTTTCGTTGGTCTGGTATGAAATCCTTTATCAAACAGGCTGTGCAACACTGTCTGGTCTGCCAACAGGCGAAACCTGAACGAGTCCCCTACCCTGGACTTCTCCAGCCACTGCCAATACCTAGTCTGCCATGGGAGATGGTAACTATGGATTTCATTGAAGGGCTTCCGACGTCTGGTAGTTACAACTGCATACTGGTGGTGATTGATAAGTTATCTAAGTATGGCCACTTTATCCCACTTCATCATCCCTTTACAGCAATGACAGTGGCTGAAGCCTTTTTTAATACAGTCTACAAGTTACATGGTATGCCTCTCTCTATTGTATCAGACCGTGACCGCATTTTCACAAATGTGTTTTGGAAAGAGTTGTTTCAACATACTCAGGGCATCCAATTGCGCATGAGCTCTGCGAGGCATCCTCAATCTGACGGGCAAACTGAACGTGTTAATCAGCAGATCGAGTGTTATCTCAGATGTTTTGTCAGTACACACCCCACTAAATGGGCTAAGTGGCTATCCCTGTGTGATTATTGGTACAATACCAATTGGCACTCAGCCACTGACAGAACCCCGTTGAGATTATATATGGGCACCTTCCAAGGCACTTTGGTATTGGACCTGATTGTACAATATCTTTCGATGATCTGTCTCAGTGGTTGGAACAGAGGCAAGTGATTTTCAGCACAGTTAAACAGCAACTTTTAAGATCCCAACAACGGATGAAAGCACAGGCAGACAAACACAGGACAGAAAGAACGTTTGAGGTGGGGGAATTAGTCTTTCTAAAGTTACAGCCATACATCCAAGCTTCATTTGCTCCGAGGGCCAACCATAAGCTTGCCTATAAATTTTTTGGTCCATACAAGATACTGGAACGTGTGGAGGAAGTTGTCTACCGCCTGGATTTGCCTGCATCTAGTAAAGTCCACCCTGTGTTCCATGTATCCCTGCTGCGTAAGGTTCTCAAGCCCGATCAGCAAATCCTGCGGTCGCTGCCGCCACCAGAGGCTCATCTGCAGATCCCTGCGTTAATTCTTCAGCGACGTGTGGTGATGCGTGGCGCTAAACGAGTATTGCAAGTACTGGTCCAATGGTCTAATGGTTCAACTAAACTGGCTACGTGGGAGGATCTGGAAACTCTGAAGCAAATGTTTCCCAGGGCGCCGGCTTGGGGGCAAGCCGCATCTCAACAGGGGAAGATTGTCAGCGGCACGGGTACAATAGAGCGGCAAGAGGAAGCCCAGTCAAGAGTCAGGCCCATACGCAAGCCTCGTCTGCCCGCTCGGCTTGCGGGCCCTGAATGGGCCTTAGGCCTTGTAACCCCTTAAGTACCTTTCCCCTCTCTGCTTCTAGACTTGGCAAAAGGCAAATGGCACGATGGCCAGCTAGAAAGCGTGTTCTTCTTCCTCTCCCCTTCAATTCCCCTCTCTGAGATCCAATTGTAAGAACTTGATTCGAATTTCCATGAAGATATAGATGAGAACCTTACAGAAAACCACGTGGATCTGGCTGTGATCCCTAACGATCCATGTGAATTGTATCCTAACCAAACAAGGCCTTTGGGCTTGTTCGGTTAAACCCTAGCATTGCATTTCTCGCTCGTACTGAAAAATGTCTGAAGCTGTTTCTCAAGTTGTTATGGCCGATTGTAACCTGAGCATTTATCAACGAAGTTTGTTTGTTCGGCAGCCAATTAACTGCCTTTTATTGGTGTCTGCCGGGCAACGATCCAACAAAATCATGGGAATGTCAATACCAAGGCAGTTACATCCTGATTAGTGCAGTGGCTTAATTTTGTCGACTGGATGCAGAAAGAGGACCGCTTGAGACGATGCTGAAGTTTCATCGCTAAAAGAGAGAATATCAATGCAAAGTAAAGTACGTGCACTCGCTTCCAGAGCCTATAAGTAGCACGAACGCCGCAACTCCCAGTTTCACCATCATGCTGCGCACTTGAGTTGGACGGGCCAGTTAATATAATTGTTGGCTCTGTACGCACGCACGGTTGCACAGATGATGCAGAAGGCCATGGGGAAGGCACGTGTGGCGACGTGCGTGGTGGCGGCCGCGCTGGTCGTCGCCGCGGTGGTGGCGGCGGTGATGTCGACCTCGGGCAGAGCCAAGTCGGGGTCGGGCAGGGCGTCGACGGCGCATTGCAACGATGGGCAGCTGATGGTGTGCGCGGCGGCGATCATCAGCGGGGCGGCGCCGTCGGCGTCGTGCTGCTCGAGCCTGCGGGCGCAGCAGGGATGCTTCTGCCAGTACGCGCGCAACCCTGCGTACGGTGGGTATATTGGCAGTCCCACCGCCCACAGGGCCATCGTCGCATACCACGTCGCCGTTCCGAGCTGCTAGCCAGGCGGCCGACGCTGGCGCGAAGTATGTGTGAACTGTATAATGTGACGTCTCAGGCCCGTACTTATATTTTTTGAGCAAAAATGTACTTCGTTTTTTTCGGGAAAACAACTTGTATTACTCAATAATAGTGGTCATACAATCTTTGTTTGCAACTTCTACCACCTCAGCAGGACCTGATCCCAACCATGTCATGGTCCTATTCTCAGTTCTAGCAAATCTAGCCAAACTATCACTAGCTTTATTCTGACAGCGAGAAACATGAGCAATACAAATAAACGAAGACCTTTAAGGTACTTAATTTCTCTAACAATAGACGCATAAATAGATCTATCCTCCCCTTTGCACTGTATGAGCGAGACTGCAATGGAAGAATCCAACCCGATATTGATAGGCAGATCACTCATCTGTAGAGCCAGCGAGAGTCCTTGCATACATGCGCAAAGTTCTGCTTCAAGCGCGTCCCGACAAGAGTACAACTTCCTACAAGCTGAGAAGATGATAGTTCCCAACTCATCTCTCAACATCACCCCTGCACCAGCCTCCCCCTCCGAGACAAAAGCTCTGTCAGAATTTAGTTTTACCCAGCCACTTGCAGGAGTACACCACCCCGTCGTTGCTTCGTCCACGGACTCGCTGTTTGAGTTGCCGGGAGCATAATATGTCATTACTGCTTTTCCTTTGTGCGGATCAGTGTTGGAGTTCAGCTTAATCCCAATCAAGGAGTCAAGATAACTCTGAAGAAATCTGCAGGACACCACCACCGGAGGTGCAGGTTTGTTATGTACTAATTCATTCCTCACATACCAGCTCCTCCAAAATGTCATCAAAAGCATACATTTCTGAATATCATCAAGAGGCTCAAGGATCTGAAGAAGCCACTCTCGCCCAGTGTTTAAAATACCATTCAGACTAGGGAGGTTCCAAACTGAAGATAAGGCACGGTATAACTCTTGAGCCAGTGGGAATCGTACAAACAGGTGGAAATTGTCCTCCATCGCCCACACAGGCCATAAGTTAGATACTTCCAGACCAATTCGGTACTTCAATGGCGTGTGTCGAGCAGGTGCGTCGTTCGATGGTTTGGTCGCGTCGTGTAATCTAATCCATGTACACAGTAATATCTCTTCATGCTCTTTTGGTTATCCATATCGTTTTTTTTTCATTTTGCATACTTATATCAGATCAGCCTGATTGAGGCATGTTGATTGGTTGTCTGTATATTGCTTCTCTGTGTCATAGCAACGACTCCACACATCGTGTTTGGTTGCTCGCATTGGTTAGGCTCATACAACTGCACATTGCTTGGTTGCATACAGGCAGCGAGGTCTGCTTACCTTGTACCCTGCATGATGAGCTTATCAGCTACATCTTACACACGAACACACCGATCACACAAATAAAATATCACTGCAATCACGACAAACTGGACAATGATGATGAAGTTTTTCAGCCCCAAATTATCGATCCGCCTTGCCAACTTCAACATTGCATGCTTGCTTGTGCACTGCCTTGGAGCAAGCATCATCTGCCGCCTACCTACTCTTAAACCCTCTATGATAGCTGTTTTTGTAATCTGTCACTTGTTTATCGCATGCTTCCCATGAACTATACCACATCCCATTTGTCCTTGCATGACAAACAGTTGCTAAACCCAATAAACTAACCCTAATGCATAAAAATACAGGTCCAAAAAAAGAGTAACTACCAGAAAAAGGGGCCTATGCATCAGGTTGGCCCAAGACTAGTGCATCAGGAGGCCCCGTCCGGAAGTGCTCCTCCTCCGCGCTTCTTCGGAAGCAGGCGAGAAGCTGACCGAACACTTCGGCTCCGCGAAGCCAGCTTCAAGAAGTGGAGGCGGCCTCCAGTGCAAATTTGAGAAGCTGCCCAAGCCCACCTTCACGAAACGGCGGAGGAGAAGTTTAGCTTAATTACTAGGAATGCCATCGCCAAGTCAAGAACACGATTCGTTTTGCAGTCCCATGTGGCCTGCTTCGCTCTTGTTTTCCTATCGCTACAGCTCCCACCAAGTCTGGCTTGCTTTGCTCCAAACGCTCGTCCAGCTCCCGCAAGAAGCCAGCCCGCCCAGCTCACGTGAGAAGTTGGCTCGTTTGGGAAGCAGGAGCACTTCCGAACAGGCCCAGAGTCAGCCTTCCAGGAAAACTAAGACCTCCGAACTAGGCCGAAGCAGGCTGCACGCACTCATTGTTGCTTTGTTGCCAATCTCACAACATAGTGTGCTTCCCAGCTCACGTCACGTACGCTACACAGGTGGTTGCACACTTTGTCTCAAAACAAAAGGTGGTTGCACAACCTGTTCAGCAACTGCCCAGCTTCCAGCTTCTTTGAATTTGCGAGTGGAGCTGTTCCGAATGACCTGGCTCTAGGAAGCTAGCTCCTGGATCTGAGACGGGTCGTAGTACAAAAACTGGGAGCTGGTGTTTCGTGGATCCCAGAAATCGGAAAAGTTGGAGTTCGAGTTATTTACAGCGAGATGCCACTGCGAAGTGAAAGGAAATGTTTCGTCGAGTGAAGAAAAGACCGGAGTGACTCCCTTCCCTCCCTACCAGTCTAGAAACAAGGTTAATGGAATACCCGCACGTCTCTCTCGCTCTTGCGAACAACGGCGGTTTCCTAGATCCAGGAAGTTCGTCGGCGCTTCTGCCGCTCCCCTTCCCCTCCGATCGTTGTCTTCATCACGAGGGGGAGGGGAGCCCCAGTTTCTCGTTCAGGTGTGCTTAGTCCTAAGTTTTCTAAGTTTTTTCATGTTTCCTCTGTCGGTGTCATGGTGGAGCAGATGTCGATGGTTCTTTTTAGAATAATGGTCTCCCAGTCCGTGCTCCTGCTCGTCGGAGGTGTTGCTGGCACCGGCGAGAGGCTTGTGGAGTCCAAGCTGTTGGACTGGCTTCGATCTGACGTTGCGTCTTGGCACATCGGCGGGGATGGGTTGCTCTTGGAGTGCGACTGTGTTGGCTCTTGCGGATTTGTGGGAGATGGTGGAGGATCCGGCCGTGTGTTGAAGGGTGGGTTGGCGCTGGCCCCGGATCTATCGTTGAAGAGGCTTGGAGGTCTCCTCCGGCCATGTTCCTTATCGGCCTAGATCTAGCCTTCTGGGGTTTGTGGCTATCGCGGCTCGTTAAAGCGTCCTAGCTAGGGGTTTCTTTAACAACAAGATGTGAATCAGCTTCTGATGCTCTCCTTCTCCGGCGACGGTGAAGGTCGTGGGTGATTGACAGTTGCGGCGATGGCGGTATGCAGCAGTACAACCGCTTGTATCTTCCTTGTCTTATGTTGCTTGTATGTGTATCATCTCTGTATCGTTACTATTATGATTACAAATAATGTATGCCTTCGGGTGTACATCTTCAAAAAAAAGAGCTTAATGGGCCGGCCAGCTACAAGCTCAGGACTAGCCATTGGATTTAGAAGTTCTGTAGCCGAACGGTGTTTCCAATCCGTGATTTTCGTTGGGAAGCTGGAAATGAGATCCAGGAGCTGGATTTGAGGATTTCCAGGCGCTGGAGAGTTGCCGAACAAGCTCTTAACTCTTAAAAAAAGTGATTGCACACTTGATCGACTCCCCAGACTCCAAAAAAATAAAATTGATCGATTTCCCTTGTCTTAAAGAAAAAAAACATGATCGATTCCCCCGTATACGTGTACGTGCATAGTCCTTCCATACACCTCGTGCACACAGGTCAAAGGCGGCGACAGAGACGCCGGAGGCTGCAGCACCAATCACCATGCGTACGCCTGAATCCTCACGCGTTGACGCCCGGGCGATCATGATGCACACCGCAATTTTGTATCCGGCCGGCCCGGCTCTCGGCAATTCCGTAATCTGTTCAATCTTCCGTTTCATCCATAGACTAAAAGGGTTGGACGTGTTTTGCTGCGTCGTTGGTGTTGTTGGGTTTTCTAAAAAACATTACTCACTCTGTTTCAAAATATAAGGTGTATTATATATTTTTAA